CGATGTTATCCTGACGCCAAATGACTTCGAACAGGCGATAAATGACATGCCCATGCACTCTGCCCCAGGGCCAGACTCATGGAACTCTGTGTTCATCAAGAACTGCAAGAAGCCCCTATCACGAGCCTTTTCCATCCTATGGAGAGGGAGCATGGACACGGGGGTCGTCCCACAGTTACTAAAAACAACAGACATAGCCCCACTCCACAAAGGGGCAGTAAAGCAACAGCAAAGAACTACAGACCAATAGCACTAACATCCCATATCATAAAAATCTTTGAAAGGGTCCTAAGAAGCAAGATCACCACGCATCTAGAAACCCATCAGTTACACAACCCAGGGCAACATGGGTTTAGAACAGGTCGCTCCTGTCTGTCTCAACTATTGGACCACTACGACAAGGTCCTAAATGCACTAGAAGACAAAAAGAATGCAGATGTAATATATACAGACTTTGAAAAAGCCTTCGACAAGTGTGACCATGGCGTAATAGCGCACAAATGCGTGCTAAAGGAATAACAGGAAAAGTCGGTCGATGGATCTATAATTTCCTCACTAACAGAACACAGAGAGTAGTCGTCAACAGAGTAAAGTCCGAGGCAGCTACGGTGAAAAGCTCTGTTCCACAAGGCACAGTACTCGCTCCCATCTTGTTCCTCATCCTTATATCCGACATAGACAAGGATGTCAGCCACAGCACCGTGTCTTCCTTTGCAGATGACACCCGAATCTGCATGACAGTGTCTTCCATTGCAGACACTGCAAGGCTCCAGGCGGACATCAACCAAATCTTTCAGTGGGCTGCAGAAAACAATATGAAGTTCAACGATGAGAAATTTCAATTACTCAGATATGGTAAACATGAGGAAATTAAATCTTCATCAGAGTACAAAACAAATTCTGGCCACAAAATAGAGCGAAACACCAACGTCAAAGACCTGGGAGTGATCATGTCGGAGAATCTCACCTTCAAGGACCATAACACTGTATCAATCGCATCTGCTAGAAAAATGACAGGATGGATAATGAGAACCTTCAAAACTAGGGAGGCCAAGCCCATGATGACACTCTTCAGGTCACTTGTTCTATCTAGGCTGGAATATTGCTGCACACTAACAGCACCTTTCAAGGCAGGTGAAATTGCCGACCTAGAAAATGTACAGAGAACTTTCACGGCGCGCATAACGGAGATAAAACACCTCAATTATTGGGAGCGATTGAGGTTCCTAAACCTGTATTCCCTGGAACGCAGGAGGGAGAGATACATGATTATATACACCTGGAAAATCCTAGAGGGACTAGTACCGAACTTGCACACGAAAATCACCCACTACGAAAGCAAAAGACTTGGCAGACGATGCACCATCCCCCCAATGAAAAGCAGGGGTGTCACTAGCACGTTAAGAGACCATACAATAAGTGTCAGGGGCCCGAGACTGTTCAACTGCCTCCCAGCACACATAAGGGGGATTACCAACAGACCCCTGGCAGTCTTCAAGCTGGCACTGGACAAGCACCTAAAGTCAGTTCCGGATCAGCCGGGCTGTGGCTCGTATGTTGGTTTGCGTGCAGCCAGCAGCAACAGCCTGGCTGATCAGGCTCTGATCCACCAGGAGGCCTGGTCTCAGACCGGGCCGCGGGGGCGTTGACCCCCGGAACTCTCTCCAGGTAAACTCCAGGTATATTATTTTATTACTATTATTATTCCTAATGATAAACAGTAAAACACCAATGTTGTATTCTACATATATCCTTCAGGGCACTTTTTTGGAAAATTTATCCTTCAGGGTACTTGGCTAATTTATCAACTTTATCATGGAGTAATCCAGTGTAATTTAATACATAATTGTACATTAATTCCTTTTCCCCAGATTTTTGAGTATCTATATCTGGCTTCTCCAAAGAGCTTGTTAGCCATGCGGGTCAAACGCTTTCAGTGATATGGAATCAGTCAGGTTCAGTGTTATAAGTTACCTTTAGTGTCATTAGGATAACAAATAATTTAGTTTGCAGTGTAGACACCCAGTTGTTAATTCTTATAACTAACACAACATAATTCATATCATTTTTATCTAGGGAGGTGGCAGCAAAAGCAGATGCAGCCCTGCCAGTAGACTCCTTAGATCTATCAGTGATAGGCTCCTTCATAAGAATATTTAAGGCATGTGATAAAGGCATCTTTAAATGCTTGATGAATATGGAATTCCATGTGTCTGGGCGGGGGTGGAGTGCACGGACATGCAATTAGTGGCTTAATGAGTGATTGAGCTGAGTAGTATATGATAAGGCCTGCATTGTTATTTTTTCTTGACAAATTAAAAACTACATTAGCTACCTCCTGGCCATATTTCTGTAGTCAGAAGAGTTTAAGAAACCGAATCAAGGACAAGCCACAGCAGATGTTTAATGAAGTGGGAGAAAGTGAGAGGGAATCCCAAGGTGTGACGGAGGGGACGGTAATAGAAAGGATGTGGCAGACTAAATTGGGTGTAAGGTCAGGCTTTCATGGTGGTATCCTGATCACCAGATGCAGCCTGGAGTGGTATAGGTGATTATATATATATATATATATATATATATATATATATATAATATTATATATATATATATATATATATATATATATATATATTTATACATTATACATAGCAATCAAATACACACTGATTTCCTGTAGTCTACATGACAGTTACACAGTGGGCATAACACCCAGACATGTCTCCCTGTCATATTTCATGTGGTAAATTGCATAAATGAAATAATAAACGCTGTAAACCTGAGCTGGCAATGAAAATATTGTTAAACATCCACTATTGGTTCAGAAGCTACAGCAGCTTAGAAGGTTTCAGCACTTTGAAATGCCATCTCTCAGAATGGTATATACCCCAAACGAGGGAAATGGAATGTGAAGGCATTCCATTTCCTTCGAGTTAGTTCATGGAGAGAGTGGACGAGTTGGTTAGGAGGAAGGGTGGTGGTTGTTGGAGTGAGTGTTGCATAAAGCTGTGACAGCAAGGATAATGATGAGAGAAGTGTGGGAGGAGCCACTTTTTCCATACTAAACTACACCCCTTTCCCTCACACCCTTCTTCCTAAATGCTCCCATCATCCCCCCCTCCTTTATGCTCGCTTTCATTTCCACATCTCCATCTATTCCTCTTGCTCAGCTCTCCACCCCATTTCTCGTTTTGCATTGTGATTTACGTATGAGTGAATTAACATTATATAACAAAACCTGAATGAGCAAAAGTTTCTAGTGCTCTGTAAATACAACACTTTTCTGCAGCCTATTTTTTATGGATAGTGATATTTCTAATATTGCCGTAATTTATTTATAGATGTGACAAACGCAGTAGTACCAGGCCATAAACTAAGTCAGCAATATACAGGGATCAACAGAGCAGGACAAAGACAAGGCAAACATACCAGGGATAGATGTCTTTACCCATGTGTTCCTTCACCATGTATTTACAGTATTATAATGTTAATATAGTAAATTAACAGTATAATGAGAGGCCCAAGAGCCACTCAAAGCAACAAGTGATTTTTGAGTTGGCAAGTCTGTGTCCCAGCAAGACAGACAGGTGTGACATCACCTTGACTGGGAAAAAGCATGCTCTCACCTGATTGGAGGGTTAAACTGGACAAATATAGTGGGGCCCTAGGACTGCTGAATTGCCAGTTCACTAGTTGAGAAGGCATGCCAATAGTTGTAATGAATGTCAAATAAAATGTAACATACTTGGTGCATGCTACAATGTGTCGAAATTGGACGTACTGTAACATTCTTAAACTTGTATACAGAACAATAGGGCCTCCATTCCAAGGACCTGCCGTTGATACCGAAACCGTGGATAATAGCAAACCTTATATATAAGTCTTATTTTAAAGTTTGAGAAATTATGCACAATATGTAGAGAATTATCACTTTCATTGAGTGGAAGCACTTCACGGCTTCTCTTAGGCTTTGAAGAACTGGGAGTGTTTCTACTTTTGCGCTTTGGGGCCATTATTCTGCAAAATTAAGAAGTATTTTTGGGCCACAGTGAACTGTGGATAACTGAAACCGTGGATGCCGAATCAGTGGATGCAGGGCTTCTACTGTAGTTACATCTTTGGTTACCTCTTCATGCCAGCACTATTTCACAATTTCAGTTATTCCCAATCCTTTGTTAATCCATACATCTTCCTGTTATTTTCCTTGTATTATGTCTCCATTCTTTACTGATGGCAGCATAGTATGACCCTAGTGGGTTTAGTGCTTCTTTTATTATATTATTTACTGATAGAAAACAATTCTCCATTCTCCCAGCTTCTAGTCCAACTCAGGTTGTGGCACACCTGTATTTATAGTTTTTAAAATAACTCTTACGTGTCATTTCAGCCTCATTAATGTATCTAGTTGTAGTTATAACATTTATTAGTGCATTAGTTCATCTTATTTTAGATTTTAATTATTTTATGGGATACTATGTATGATTTGTTTACTGTATAAGCAGACAATTTAACCTATAGTAGGTGGTCAGGTCTCAATAAAGGAGTGGAACAGATGGCCTGAACAAGTTTGTCAGTCTTAGCATAAACCAGTTCAGGAAGAAAGCTAAAAGGCTCTAAATGAATGTGAAGCTACAGAAAGGGAGGAGAGTGGTTTCTTGTGTAGTTAATATTTGTGTACCCATTGTAAGCTGATTTTCTTCGTTCACGTAAAATAACTTGGTTCATGTTATTCCTATTGTACCTCTTTTTACTATAACTGATTTTCATGCAGTGAATTTCTTAGTTTTAATTTTTAAAATTATGATTGTGATTTCTACTCTATCATATTGCTAGGCTTTTTATTATTAAGATATTACAAAGACCCCAGTGGAAACAAGTCATTGAATTTTTTCCATCTGTACATGTTACAATGTATGCTATTTGTAATCACCTGAATTTGCATAACTGTGTTTAAATTAACTTAATACTCAATCTGTTAGTAACCTAGCCTCTTTGTTTTGCAGACTGTGTTGCGTGCTCGGTGGGATGGCCGCGACGTGGACCATAAGGCAGTGGGTGGACACCTGCCTCTCAGCAAGAGGAGCTCCACACCTGCAGGAGCCTCTCTGGCTGTATCCTCAGCCCAACTTCTACATGCCCACGCCAAAGCCAGCCTCACACCCATAGAATTGCCCAACATGCACCGCCGACTGGATCGTTCTCAGTCTGAGCCCAGCAAAGGAGGGGAAGGACGCCAGGCCAACTCCTCGCGCTATAAGACTGAACTCTGCCGACCCTTTGAAGAGAATGGTTTCTGCAAGTATGGCGATAAGTGCCAATTTGCTCATGGTCATGCTGAGCTACGTACACTTTCCCGTCACCCCAAGTACAAGACAGAGCTGTGTCGCACTTTCCATACCAGTGGCTTCTGTCCCTATGGCCCTCGTTGTCATTTTATCCACAATGCTGAAGAGAGACGAGGGTCATCAGCTGGATCTGCCTCTCATCCACCACTCTCACCTAAAACCTCTCTCACCAATGCTCACACACCACTCTCCCGACCTCAAATGCTACAGATGGGATCACCTATGGTTCCACTGGGTTCTGCTGCTGAGTCACCCTCCCCTCCAGCTTCACTGCATGGCTCTCCCACTTCCTCGGGTGGATCCTTCTTTGATGATGCCTTCACCCTTTTTCCTGGTGGATGTGGTCTGGCTGGTGCCAAGGGCTTTTTGGATGGCCTGTCAGTTGGACTGAGCTCTGGGCTGAGTGGAGGGCCTGGATCTCCTGGAGGTTCATCCTGTGGAGGCCGTGCCCTCGGTGAACTGGATCTGGTCCGGGAAGGAAATTTTTTCTCGCTGGCACTAATAGATACTCCACCAGTCAGTCCCGTTGAGTCTCTGGCTGGTGACCTAGACTCCCTCTCAATCTCCTCCTCTCACTCAGCCTCTCCTACCCCAGTGACGAGCGCCCTCGACATCTCACGCTCGCTCCGTCTTCCCATCTTTGAGCAGCTGTGTGAGCAAGACTAAACAGCCAGTGCTGGCCCAGTGGCCGTGACAGCTCAATTTGTGATAGTGGCGGCCACAGGGAGCATCAGTGGGTGACTGTTAGTAGTATAGAAGTGGCTGTAGGCAACACTCCAGCACCCTCACTAGTGTTCCCGAGCCCAGGAACCTCCGGAGATCTGGGCCTAGTCTTATTTAAACACCTAGTGAGGTCTTGCAGGTTGGCTGCCCTCAGTCATGAAATCAGCAATGAGAAAAGGTATCCACAGTGTGATAATGTGACACAGTTGCCCACTTCCCATACCTTGTATAGCATGGAGTATATATGCCCCTCACCCGGTACCTACATGCCCACCTCCACCCATGTACTGCTTGTGATATTGGGGCGTCCATGGTGGCGCCCACAACCTTAGAGTTTATAAAGGGCTGGTGTGGCAGTTGGTGTGGGGGCAGGGGCACCCTCCAACACAGCTCTTGTACAGAACAAAGTATCGTTTGATTTTTTTGTAATTACGAAAGAACTGCTTGTATTTATGTAATTTATTTATTTGAGTGAAGTAGAAAAGAAGTAATTTATCTTTGTACTATACCTAGATGCCATAACAGTTCGTGTTATTCAGTTTGCCACCTCTCATAACCAGCTGATAGTGAGCGTTGTTAATCTGACACCTTCACTTGTCTGGCCAAAGTAAATCGCTCGCAGACTATATAAATATATATATATATATATATATATATATATATATATATATATATATATATATATATATATATACATATATATATATATATATATATATATATATATATATATATATATATATATATTAAATACATATCTATATCCAGTTTTATACAAATCTTTATTAACTTATGTTTATCAATTGATTTTGTGGCAATGCTTATAATGGTTGCAGTTGAGGGAAGCATTAATAAGGGACTGCCGGCTGTTGGGGTCGGAGACGCTCATGCTGGTCAAATTAACCAAGGACCACTGAACCGGTCGCCAACTGTGCTTGATAAGTCGACCCTACCTCCCCCATCGCAACCAAGGAAGGTCCACCTCAATTTGGCTCGTCATGTTTGAATGACTTGGCCTTAAGTCATGTAAATCTATTTTCAATCATACTAGTGTGTTGGTTGTAATTGAATGTCAATTATACTTTACCCATACAAGTTATGACCTGGTCTAGTCTTCTGGGCATGGTGAGGCAAACTGAGCAATATCAGTGTTATGATTGGGAGGGCTGGTCGACAGTCACATGAATTAGGAAATAGCTCGCTTACACCCACCAACCAAAGATGGATTTGGTTCCGGCAATGAGAATAGAGATTGCCTTACTTGTTTTTAGTTTTATTTTATGTGAAAGATAGCTCATCGGCTTTTAGGACCGATGCTTTTTCTTAAAGAACTGTAGCTAAGGGCAGTTACTGATATTTTATATATACTGTGTACATATGCTGCTGTGTAAGTACTTTCAACCAGTATATATAGATATACTAGTGTTATATAAAATAATTGTCTTCTGCCAACAGCGTGTACCTAGAATACATATGCCTTTAGTTGTGAGGGGTGAAATTATGCCCACCTAATAACTGTATGTGACGAGATTGGCCATCACAAGTCACCCAAGACGGCCGTAAGGTTTAAGCATAAATTTTTGTAAAAATGGGGCTAAAATCTGTCAAGTGTATTACTCGAGAGAATACGTCACTGCTCACTGATTGGCCTGCACGTTAGTTTTCTCTACTTAAGTGTTCTTAATTTATATATATATATATATATATATATATATATATATATATATATATATATATATATATATATATAATATATATATATATATATATGAGCCAAGATGTAAACTTTACATACCGTCTTGATGGGCTGAAGCTGCCAGTCGTAACGCAACTAAAGGCCCTCAGTGCCAGCGAGTTGGTCCCTTGTCTCTTAGGGAAAGAATAAAAAGGTTGAGAAAGGTCACAATGGCTGAATAATGGTATAAAAAGTGCTTTAGTTTATCCTATTTGTCATGTACAATAATGTTCTTAAGTATTTTATTTTTGTATAGTTAATTTAAACTATTTTATTTTTTTTGTTGACCTCACTCTTCCTTCTTGTAAAAGACACCTGTGACAGACGGGAAGGTTGCATAGCCCCCTCATGGTATGCCCCGTTTAAAAATACCTAAATCTCTTTAATATCTCTCAAGCATTTCTTTAATCACTAACAAATTATTTTGCTTAATTCCTCACATTATTTGAGAGGGTTTATTGTCCATCATAAGAGAATCCCCAATTTATACAGTGAATTTTTGTCAGTCTTGACAAGTAATTCCACGTACTGGTATTGTTTGAATCAGTGCTCATTTTCTGTTGATACAAGATTATTGACAGGAAAGTTACTTGCTGTGTGGTGAAGTAATCAAGAAGTGTGTGGCCAGATGGGCTTGTAATATTTATGAGTCGCTGGTCATCATTCCAAAGTGTTCCTTACCTTTTAACACCTCCCGTCTACTCTGTCTAGTGTATGTTAGCATTATTTATATTCTAGCCACTATTTACTTTTCTAGTGCTTTCTAAAGTCTGTAAAAAGTATTATTATTAAGTTTATATTACATATATATATATATATTTACAAATTGTGATCCGTGCAACTTTCCTGTCATCAGGACAAGAGAGGAGGCAGATTTTTAGGGGACTCGCCCCTCCCCTTGGACTGTGGGAGGATCTTGGTCTCTGGATGGGGTCTTAACCTCAGTCATGGGGTGTTGTGACCTCTGCAGACTGAGGGGGTGACCTTAACTCTGCAGACTGAGAAGGGTAGAGATCTTAACCTCTGCAGACTAAGGAGTCTTGGCCTCTGTACAGTGAAGGTCTTGACCTCTGTAGATCGTGGGTTGTCTTCACCTCTGCAGAGGGGGGATGGGGGAGAGAGACAAGTAATACAGGTTCCTCTAGCCGTCTCCTTGATAATTGTTAACAAAATTCCCAGAATATTACCTGAGTTACATTGTACATAGAGTATAAGGTTTAAATGCAGGGTTTGGCATTGGCCAAAAATAACTCCATTTTATGTGCAAAAAGTTTGTTTTATTTCTGATAATACTACGAGTTACACAGCAGTGTGGGGAAAATTTGCATTGCTATTTATTTATTTAGGGTAATTTAAAAAATACAATTTTTGTTCTGATGTGGCAACCTTTTATGTTTGTTTTAAATTTTTTTTTTAGCAGATGCTTTCTGTTAGTCGTGAATATTTATTAATTTAATTTTTGGGACTTGTAAGTTCACCTGGCAACAACTGTCTTACATCCATCATGACGACAGATGTGTGCAGCTGTAGTTTGGGTAATCATCAATAGATATGAAATATTTACTTTAATGCTGCTGTACCCACAGTTTAAACTATTAATTATTACAAGTACATGTACCAGAAGAAAACATTAAAAACTTTTATAATTTTCTAATGAATATGACAGTTTTATTTTGACCTTATTTTGTGGCATTGCAGCGAACTTTAAATTTGAACACCGGGGCTCCAAAAATGATTATGCTGGTGGGGAGTTTGTACTGCATCGAACCTGATTTCCCTCCCGTTTCCCAGGTACTGTATCACCCCTACAGATTCAGCACTTTACATGAATATTATCTTCATGATTTCACAAAAATGTATCTATGTAAATGTAAGTGCATTTCTAGGCTAATTCAGCTTTCCTGACACAAAATTAAAAGTAGACAGTCTGGAGGGCCTTGATACCTCCCATTGCTCAAGTGTTACATGGTAAATAAGGATGTAGTTGTAGTTTGGTTAAAAAATCACAGTATGACCCATTCAGTTTAGTGCTTTCTTGAAATACTCAGAACCTGAAGAGGTATTTTGCCGGTGAGGGGCTTGTGATACAAGGAAGCAGATGTCTCTTTTCCTTTGATCAAACTGTTCTACTTGGTGAGCTGTATGGAAACCCATCGTCTGCAGATTTAGGCTAAATTCAGTTGCCTGATTACCTTCCACCCACCCTCAGGCGCTGTATAATCCTACGGGTTTAGCGCTCCCCCATGATTATAACGTGAATATTATTTCGAGCAAAGGAATTTAGATATTTTGAGGGAATCTCCCCTCAAGGAAGGTTCCTTGATGTTGGTGAGGGGCTCTTGATTTAGGGAAGTGGATCTGTGCTCCAGTTCCCCGAATTAAGCCTGAATGCCTTCCACATCCCCCCCAAGCGCTGTATAATCCTCCGGGTTTAGCGCTTTCCCCTTGATTATAATAATTTGAGGGAAGCTCAAAGTCCGCCGAGTCCATACAGCGGCTAGGGAATGAGAGGTAATCCGGTTTGATTCGAGGAAGAAGTTAGCTCCAATATGTTCGTCACAAGTCTTCATAATTTTCACTTTCATAGGAAGGCGAGACTTGGCACACTGGCGAGCGGCGGAGAAACGACGTGGCAACACTGTAATACGTGATGTAAATACTAAGTTATGGATGTTGAATTTTTTTTTATGTATTCCTATATTTCTACCCCTCAAGGAAGGTTCCTTGATGTTGGTGAGGGGCTCTTGATTTAGGGAATTGGATCTGTGCTCCAGTTCCCCGAATTAAGCCTGAATGCCTTCCACATCCCCCCCAGGCGCTGTATAATCCTCCGGGTTTAGCGCTTCCCCATGATTATAATAATCCTATATTTCTAGTCTTTATTCACTTTCCAATATATATATCCTTGGATGAAGGATAAGTGGACGCGTGGGCGGCGCGAGTCCCGGAGATTCAAGGAAGAGGATGGTTGAGAGAGGGGGGGGGGGAAGAGAGAGTTCTAGGAAGCCGAGACGGGCGCATGCGCTGTGGCTGTGGGTTTGTGGGTTGGTGGTGTGCGGCGCAGGTCCCCAATGACCCACCCATCCTCCAGCCTGCCAGCACAACCACCAAACACCCCTGCCACCCAAAACTCGCCCACCCACTCACTGATACTGCTTTACCCCCCCCCCCCTCCTCCTCCTCCCGGGTCAAACAAGCAACCCATGACACCACACTACTACTAACTGTACTATAGCTATACTCCCCTTAAAGGAGGTTCCTTGACGCTGGTGAGAGGCTCTTGATCTGGGGAACTGGATCTGTGCTCCAGTTCCCTGAATGCCTTCTATCCCCTTCCACAGGAGCTGTATAATAATACGGGTTTAACGCTCCCCCATTATAATACAGCCACACTCCACTTCAGAGAAACAAGTACATTTTAATTAACATAACTTGAACAAATAAGTGAGACTGCTCTGTGTGGGTCAACAGTATTACGAGTGTTCCTCTTATATTATCAAGACGCTGCAGTGGGCCTATGGACTTATATTAGGAAGATCTTACTCATAAAACTTTGCTACTCGTGTTAGCACTTTAAGTACTTTTACAAAACCTATTAAAGGCAGACGAAACTGGAGACTTCGAACATGTACAGAACTTCCCTGCTCGCATCAACAGCCTCCCACCAGGCATAAGGGGGAATTACCAACAGATCCCTGGATGCCTTCAAGACGGAGCTGGACAGATACCTAATGTCGGTACCCGATCAGCCGGGCTGTGGTTCGTACGTACGTTGGACTACGTGCGGCCAGCAGTAACAGCCTGGTTGATCAGGCCCTGATCCACCGGGAGGCCTGGTCAAAGACTGGGCCGCAGGGGCGTTAACCCCCACAACACCCTCCAGGTAGACCCCAGGATCATTATGTATATTGTGCATTATGTGCATTGGCTTAAGCCGGTAGGAGACTTGGACCTGCCTCGCATGGGCCAGTAGGCCTTCTGCAGTGTTCCTTCGTTCTTATGTTCTTATATTAAATCGACAAATGTATAAAGACCTGAGAAATTATTTTAAAGTTCTATCAAGGAAGTTATATCACTCGCCAGGCACTTCATTAATCCAATCAGGGCATTTATTAGAGGAAACGTTTCACCACTAGTGGCTTCTTTCAGTTCTAATGTCCTGAAGTGTACATAAGTGTTTTCCACATCGTGTCACTATCACCATAAGCTGGGTTGCGTGTGGCCAGCCCTAACAGATTGGTTGATCGGGCCCTGATCCACCAGGTCGTCTGGTAGAGGGTGGGGGCGCTGACCCCCCGAAGCAACCTCCAGGTAGACTTCCATCCCCCCCGCGGCACCGTACGACCCCCTACGGTTCAGAGCTTTCCCCCCATGAATGTTTAACATTAATGACCCCCCCCCCCTAAAATTTATCACTTCCGTATGAATATCAAATGATAACAGAGAAGTAATTATTTCTTGTCTCCATATTGTGAAGAACAGGTATTCTCCGTGAATACAAGAAGGTAGCCAAGGAAGGGGGATTCTGGAGGATGAACAAGGTAGGGGAGGGCATATTTGTGTCCTTAACATATTGTCGGTAATTCTACCTACATTATTACAAGGTAGGGGAAGTACGAAGAGTGAAAGACTGTACGGACGTTGTGGAAGGTTAGTCCACTCATGGCAGGTATCAGGTAGCCTCTAGTTGACTCCCGACACGTGTTAGGTACATACAGGACTGGTTATATGTTTACACCTATAGATTGCTGGAATCAGACGACAATCAGAAACATATATTGATGATGTTTCGCCTCTGAGGTAGCCTATAAATCGATACTCGCCCATAATGACTAGGATGGCGTCGGCCAGAGGTGGGTGATGTGTATATCTGGACCAATGTCAGCATATTTCAAATACGCTAACCGTGATGCCACGGATTTTCCAAATAATGTTATATCAGCATAATTTGAACTTTGCTATGACGCCCCCGCCGTGAAGACGTACCCTGGCCAGTCAGGACATCAGACTGCAGGCTGGGCTTCCTATCACATTTAAAGTTAATTTACCAATATAACAGTCTCTGCGAGTTATCATTCGCCATTACTCCACTTAAAACCCTTTACGACACCGAAAGAGAACCTTCAAAACTAGGGACGCCAAGCCCAGGATGATTCTCTTCAAATTGCTGCTGTATAGCCCTTGTGGCTTAGCGCTTCTTTTTGATTATAATAATAATAATAATCTTCAAATTGCTTTTGCTCTCTAGGCTGGAAAGCTGTATAATCCTACGGGTTTAGCGCTGACCCCCCCTTGATTATAATAATAATTTAGACTGGAATACTGCGGTACACTAACGGCCCCCTTCAAGGCTGGCGACATTGCAGACCTGGGCCCCTCAAGGAAGGTTCCTTGATGTTGGTGAGGGGCTCTTGATTTAGGGAATTGGATCTGTGCTCCAGTTCCCCAAATTAAGCCTGAATGCCTTCCACATCCCCCCAGGCGCTGTATAATCCTCCGGGTTTAGCGCTTCCCCCTTGATTGTAATAATAATGCAGACCTGGAGAGTGTACAAAGAACTTTCACTGCACACACAAGTGCGATAAGGCACCTAAACTATTGGGAACGGTTGAAGGTCCTTGATCTGTATTCCCTCGAACGCAGGCGAGAGATATACATGATACTATACACTTGGAAGGTCCTGGAGGGATTGGCACCAAACCTGCACAAGAAAATCACTCCATATGAAAGCAAAAGACTCGGCAGATGTAACATTCCCCCGATGAAAAGCAGGGGCGCCACGAGTACACTGAGACAACACAATAAGTGTCCGGGGCCCAAGACTTCAATTGCCTCCCAGCATACATAAAGAGGATTACCAATAGATCCCTGGCTGTCTTCAAGAAGGCACTGGACAGGCACCTAATGTCAGTACCTGACCAACCGGGCTGTGGTTCGTACGTCAGCTTGCGTGCGGCCAGTAGTAACAGCCTGGTTTATCCGACCCTGATCCACCATGAGGCCTGGTCTTAGACCGGGCCGCGGGAGCGTTGACCCCCGAAACCTTCTCCAGGTAAACTCCAGGTAATACCGACAAGATATGAAAAAAAGACGCTTATGTACAGTTTCCCTTAATATATGTATTGAGCTGTACATAAGTGTCTCTTCCACACCTGGACCGCCACTAGGTAGGGATTGCAGAAACTTGGAGTGTTTTTGCTCATCAAGAAAGGTCACTTGACCAAGACGTGGGTCTTGGTTAAATTATGACCCGTTTATTAGCCAATTACAGCGGCTAGGATTTTCGTCCTACGAAAAACAACTATGACTTTCGCGCCGTGAGATCTGTGAGGGATACTGAATAAATCACATTCCTTGAATGAACTCGTTGTTACCTCCCAGTCCCAGACCCACATGGAGTCTTCCTAGTGGTTGTTCTGGGGGTCAACGTCTCTGCGGCTTGGTCCTTGACCAGGCCTCCCGGTGGATCAGGGCCTGATCAGCCAGACTATTACTGCTGGTCGCACGCAATCCGATGTACGAACCACAGTCAAGCTGGTCAAACACTGATTTTAGGTATCTGTCGAGTTTCCTCTTGAAGATAGCCTAGGGTCTATTGTTAATTCTCATGTATGATGAGAGGCTGGTGAACACTTCCCCTCAAGGAAGGTTCCTTGAC